CCCCCTGTGTCATTGTAACAAGATTACTGCTCACCAGCTCTGCCTCTCCAGGTCACTCTGTACTGCTCAGGTGGTGTGGCAACTATGAATATTATTGAATGCGGGGAGAGAGCTCCGTTTCCACAGAGGCTTGTGCACGAGGGAAGCATAGCATTGTGGGGAATGTAGTTTTCCATGCCCTGCATTGTAGCTCACTGTGCACAGCATACTGTAATTTACACAGACTGCCTACCGAGCACAGAGGTGGCCATTTCAAAAGGGGCCATGAGGAGATGAGGACAACTAACAAAGTATGTTTCTGTGTTTGTGTACAGCAACTGCATATGCCTGCTTCATGTACGCTTGTGTGTGTTGGATTTTTTGTTTTATATACTCCTCTGCAAAGGTGTTAATGGGCTTTAATTTGCTAAGCAGGGGTACTCTTTGGGAATAAACTTACCACACCCTATCCACCTATTTCATGCGAAATAACTTCTATTAGACATAGGCCTGTGTTATTTTTTTAACATGGATTTTGACTGCTAAATGGTGTTAAGGACTTGTGCTCTAAAGCAAACTATTTATTCTATCCTTTGTATACAAGGCAAAATAATTTCAGTCCAACTCCAATATTTTATGTACCTTGCGTCGCTGATCTGGAACAAACATTCAGATTAGAAGAGGTGAAGTTTGGCTATTAAGTATACTTAGTCTTGGCCATTGAAGTAAAATTGACTCAATTGTATTGACGTAATTGAAATTAAATCATCGTGACACCAAGAGAAGTAGCCTCTTCAGGAAGGGTCTGAATGGCATTCCATATTTTCTCAGTAAAGGTTTCCTTAAAACCTAAAAGGCAAACGCAGAAGCATTTTGTAGTACTAACTTGTAACATTTAAGCCAACATTTTGTTCTTTTCACTATAGAGCATTCTGGGGTGGCATTGTCAGTGGAACAAGTTGAAGCTGGACTTAAAGGTTTGAAAGTAGAGCAAGAGAACAAGATTGCAACTCCGTTTATGGCTGAACAGCTGGAGGAGACTTTGACTGCTGTGACTGGTTCAAGGAAAACACAGAAGGATGGTGATATGTCTGCTTTTAACAAACTTGTAAGCAGCATGAAGGCAAGTGGGACGCTGCCTTCACAACCCAAAGTCAATGTAAGTATTTGATGCACCAACAAAGTTTCGGAAGGTGACTAATGAGCTCCAGACGTTGTAGGAGATGGGGAAAGATGTGTTGTAGTTTCTTTTATGCAGTCTTGAAGTAAGCCACTACCTGCTTCTTCTGTTCCTCCTTTAGGTGGTGTTGACACTTTATTTTGAGATGTCGTGGATTGATTTGGGATAAATGTTTTGATCTTTTAGTTGACTTTGTTACTGGAGCATCTTATTGATGTTGCGAAGGAGGCTGTTGACTTTGATATGGCTTTTATTCCTCCCTTGCTAATGTGACATATCATGCCTGGTTTATAAACCTATTTGTTATATTTTTTTCCCCCGCTTTTTATGTACCTGTGTGTTTACTTATTTTAAAGGGATGTCACTGGGTGCATTTGGTGGTTAATTAAGCTATAACTTTAAACCTTCAATATGTTTAACCTAGCCATTTACCTCCTTGATTCTTTAGCGGTCCCTAGATGGCCATTTGATGCCCTCTTCTGATGTCACAGGTCCTTCTTCTCTCCAGAGGAATATTCTTCAGGTATGGGTGGGGTGTGGTGTTTTATTTTAACTGTACACGCTGCAAGTCTTCAGGTATATTATAACTACTTAGAGCATGGGACATTATAATCTTGTGTTCACAATCTTGCCTCCATAAAATGTTTTATTATTCATTTTGCCCTCTATCCTGTCCCTCCTATCCCCTCAACTGATCTCAAGTAGAAAGGCTACTCCTATACCTTTTTTAAGATGTTGTATGCAAGTAATCCTGGATGTGCTACACAGAAGGCTCTTTTTGTGTATGTTGCCATTCTTTGTGTACATTGTCTGATTACCTTTTAAGAATTTGTGTTCAATTTCATTATCACCATGCTACAAATTTTGTAGTGTACCAGGTAAATGTAGCCTCTTTTATTCTGGGGTGCCTAATAGGTTGGTGGCTGCTCCAAGACTTATCTCCTGCAATGCTGCACCCATATTTTCCTGACAGGGTAATGGAATACATTGTGGCAGTACCATCCCCATTGTATTCATTTACTGGAGCCTGTGGTAACATTTGTAGGATCAGTTTCTCATTTGTTAGTCGATGGCAACTATGGAAAAGTGTATGACTAGATGCTTCACTTGTCCTCCTCGTGTACTACTTGGTCAGAATTGCTAATCAGCCTGGAGGATGTAGTTTAAGGAAGGTGGATTACGTGCCTATTTAATTAAATCTCTCGCCTTGCACTATCCTGAAATTGGTACGGCCTGGGGAACACAACTTTTGCAAGAAATATTGATCTTAAGGGGTTGGTAAGCTGCATGAGGATAAACTTTCTAACTACTGCTGCATTTCATATTTGCAGAGTGATTTCAGATCCACTTTAAATTGTTGTGCAGTCTTGGTTGTTAAACCTTTTTTGTATGTGCCTGACACTTTAAAGTGTAAGGCTGGGTTCACACCTAGGCGGATTGAATATGCACGTTTTTCGCGCGTTTTTTTACCGCGATTCGCGGTTAAAAAAACGCGCGTTTTCGAGTGATACTTGGCTGTATCCCAATGGAACCGCCCGACCAAAACGCCCCAAAAAAGTACATGTACTTCTTTGGGCGTAGGGCGGTTTCCCGCACGTTCGTACTCGCGGAAAACCGCCCAGATGGGAACCATGCACACTGAAAATAATGGCATTTCCCTGTTTGAGCGTTTTTCCGTGAGTACGAAAGCGTGGAAAAACACCGAAAAATGCCTAGGTGTGAACCCAGCCTAAGGAAATCGGGTCACCCGAGTCTTGACAGTTGCTGCATGTCAACTGCCTGAGCTCACAGTCTCCGAACTTCTGTGAGTGCATAATGGCATTCAATAACCGAACCCTGTTAGGGGTTTTGCCCTCTTGGTTAGCTGGCAGAGGGTACTTGCGGTTAGCCAGTGCTTTTGGACAGCGCTAAACTTATTTTTGGGAAAGTTTCAGAATAAGACTTTGCTAGGTAATGGTGTTTTTGATGACTATGCTTTTCTTGTTCTGAGCAGGAGCTTCTTGGTCCTCCCATTCCTGATCCGTCCTCTAGTGTCCTCAATAATATTATGGGGACTCTGGATCCTACAGTGTCTATGCTACGGCAAAGGACACCTTCTCCTCAGATGTCACAAGTGTTCCCCACACGTGCCTCCTCTGCAGATTACCTTCGAAACCGAGTACCTTCTCCGCTAGGCAAGTGTATTCTTATATATTTTTTTTATTTTATTATGGGAGACAGTGGGTAGAGACGCAAAGCTCTAGGTACTATGGCATGTTTAAGGTAATGTCACTTTACCCCCACGGTTTCCTAGAGATACTGTATAGAGGAGGAGACTTTGGCCCTGTATGCATACAGAGATTGAGGTAGCTTTGCTCTAGATATGTTAAGATGGGCTTACACGTAAGCTTAGATTTCAACTGCATTTTTTCAAGAGGCCAACAGAGCTTTGAAATGATCGGAGGTAGATATCTTGGATTACACCGTCCAAGTGTAGAAAGATTTAGTTTAGTCAGTGTACCCTGCTACTAGGCCCTGCATGTGCATTGAGTCATTCATATGTTTCTTCCTCCTTCTGCACAGGTTTTCCCTCTAGCCCTCAACAGCTTCTTGGAGAACAGTTTCCCACTAGAATGCTTAAGGCTGATAGCCCAGTCATGGCACAGGTAACGTCTTTTCTGTTTTTATGACATGCATGCTATACCTATCCCCTTTAGCTCTTTAAAGTATACAAAATGTGTGCATGAGGGGAAGAAAAACTTGCATTATTTTGCTAGTACCAACTCTGACTAGCCACTTCTGGAATCGTCAGATGCTAAAAACCTTCTGGTGTGACTCCCGCTTTTATTTCCCTGTTGTAGCCCCTCCACCCCCAGGTACGATGTTAGATTAGTATGTCCCTTCAGATCTGTGGGGGCACACTAGTTTAGTGGCTGGATGGAGGAGCTGCAACAGGGTGATGCAGGCATCACATACTTGGTAGTGTTGGGGTTCCAAAGGTTGCAGCAGTGGCTGTAGTTCTGCAAGAGATCAAAGATTGAACCATGTACTTGTTAGTATTTATACATGTCCTAATAGGTTGGCTTGTTCGAATAAACAATAGTGGACATTTCACAGTTCAACAGTTTTTAAAGAATCTCACTGGCTTATGAGGCATAGGACGTCTGCATCCACCTGAGGCTTTCTAAATTTGCTTTAATTTACCTTTTTGAATTGAGTCTGTTACAATCTGACGAAACAAACAACCATTTAGGGATTTATTTAGATGCTACTCAAAATGTGGAAGTTTTCACTGTACAATCTGACAATCCCCCTTTTTTGAAAGAAAAAAAATAACTTTGGGGTATTCTTAGAACTTATTGATATATGATCTGTACAATGAAGTCAAAGTTTAGCACCGACACCTTGACCTAGTAACTGGTTTGCTGTCCTGTGTCAGAACTACAGATTACCTTTATGGGGATTTGCTGATCATCTAAAAAAAAAACAAAAAAACAGCGATGTGCTAAACTCATCTGGCTTTGAAATTCCTAAGTTGGTTGAGCGCTACTCTAATTTAGTTTGTGTGCATTGGCCTGCATTTTAATAATGGTCTTTAGTTGGTGTGTGGGGCCGTGCCTGAAGCTTTGTATTGTCAAGCAGTTGGTAAAGCAAGAACTGTCCAACTTCATATGACTTCTGTCTCCCTAGAGTGCTCTTTTTTTTTTTTTTTTTTTGCAGATTAGTTCATTGGAAATGCAACAAGCTGTGATGGATGGTTTAGTGCCACCTGAACTAGCTTTCCAAGCTGCTAACTACTTCCACCCAGTCTATGGCAAAATGCAAATGGAGAAAAACAGAGATGGGTTCCGTAACAGGTTGGTGTAAATTTTTGTTTTAAGCATTATTTATTGGTATGAGATCTTGTCATGACCAATGGTGTTTTTTTGTTCTGTTTGCAGACCGCAGCAAAGGTTAAACAAATCTCCAGTAGGTCATCTTCGAGGGTCATCTGTGTCTCCAGGACCTAGTGCCCCTGTTACTAGTATGGTAAGAACTGGGCATTGGGTGAATAGTCTAGACATTCAAGTTTCACTGAAATAAAAGCTGTCCAACCAAAGCATTACTTTACAGAGACATCTGGGTCTAATAACTTTCTGCCCTCTTAAAACATATGGCAGTGGGGTATTTTTCAGGGGTTGGGCTTGGTCCCTTAGTTCCAGTGAAGGGAACTCTTAAGGCATCAGCAAACCAAGACATTTTGGACAATTTCTTGCTCCCAACTTTGTAGGAAGAGTTTGGGGATGGCCCAAAAAAAAAGCAAGGTCCATAAAGATATGGATGAGCGAGTTTGGGGTGGAGGAACTTGACTGCCCTGCACAGAGTTCTGAACTCAACCCAATAGAACACCTTTGGGATGAATTAGAGCAGAGACTGTGAGCCAGGCCTTCTCGTCCAACGTCTGTACCTGACCTCTTCTGGAAAAATGGTGACGCACTCCTAAACCTTGTGGACGCCTTCCCAGAAGAGTTGAAGCTGTTATAGCGGCAAAGGGTGGGCCAACTCAATGTTGAACCCTTCAGACTAAGACTGGGATGCCATTAAAGTTTTTATGTGCGTGTAAAGGCAGGCGTCCCAATACTTCAGGCATTATAGTGTATCTCTTCATTGTGCAATCTAAGGCACTGCTGCCTTTTTGCTACTAGTCTCCAAAGATTTAGAGAGATTTGGAGAACAGTGAGCAGCACAGTAGTGGCATCACCATGTTGGAGGCTCTCCCATGCGGACTCAAAACCATGCCTCTAATAAGATGCCACTCTCCACAAAGACAGTACACCACAAACCATGATGACTTGGTAATTGGTGACCCATTACT